CCACAGCAAATAGTGCAATCATTTCATACAATGAACTGAGCCTCTTTCTAGTCCTGCAGGCGACTATTGTATGATAGCTCTGTTCTTTTTCTCCCTTTCTTGGCCACGAACGTGCGTCTCAGCACCTGACTTTGTCGACCTTTTTTTTTTTACTCGCTTTGTTCAGCCTGCAAATTTTACTCCAACTTCCCCGCGTACCCCCTTTCATCGCCGCGTCTGCACCCAACTTTCCCACCTCACAACAAACACTCACCTACAAATAGCCCCCCTCACCCCCCTCACCCCCTTCTACTCTCACACCAACAGTATCCACCGACCACCTAACCCAGTCCCAATAACCAACTTACCTACTAACCATACAGTTTCCCTTGGTGTATCCAGACCCTAGCCAAGACGCCACACAACCTGGCCGACTGCATCGCGAGTTTGCTCTGTCAAACAAGCTTTGAACGGTCTTTTGCTTGACTAGCTGGTTTAAACCAACCTGATCCATGAGCTTAGCAGTTCGAGGCGGTATTCCTATTTCGCTTTTTGACCGCCGGGCCGCTCCGCTTACTCCATTTTCCGATCTCTCTGACAACCCAGACACTCCTGGGACAACTTACTCCTTCCAGGACCCCCCACAACACAAATCCGCCAACATGCAGGCGGAACCTGCACACCACGCACTGCCAGGTCTATTAGACCCCCATGTTCCTACTACTGACGACGAAATGATGGACTCGGACGCCGATATCAGAAAGGATTCCGATTTTGACATTGAAATCGATGCCGATGAAGTTTACTCTAATGCAGGCGGTGTCGATCTTGATGTCAACTACCGTATGGAAGAAGATAATGCTGATAATAGCCATCAACTCTACGATAATGACGATATCATGTTGGACGAAGAGGATGATATCATCTTTGAGAAACAGCAGGTAGATGATGAAGCCGATCCTATTCCAGGTGGGGTTCCTACGAGCGCAGTTCCTGAGGCCTCGCCAAAAACACTACCAGAGGAACAATCAGCTGTCCCCGAAGAATCCAACATCACACACAGCATCCCCCCAGCCATTTCAGAACAAGTTGATCAGCCCTCTCTTCTGCTGGAAGAGCCCAATGCTGGTGAAACTGCTCATCTCACAGATTCTCAGCCAACGGCATCACCCGCGGGAGAGCCTCATGGTGCTCTCGCCCCCCCTGAAGATGCCGAAAAAGCTGCTGCTGTGCATGAAACAATCACCCAAGACAGCGACCTCCAACACAAGGAGAATGTTTGGAGCGAGAATACATCTGTAACCCTTACGAACGACGTAGTGCCCTTGGAGGAGCGACAGGCGAATGAAACAACCGAGCAGCCCCATCAACCCGTCACCACTGGTAATGAGGCTGATGAGCAAGGTGTTGTCAGCCTTACGGATGAGCCTCCTAGTTTCGACCCACACCCAGTTGTAGTCCAGTATGAACAAAACCACGTCTCGCTATTCCCGCCTCCTGATGATGTTGATTTGCCCTTTTTTATCAAAGATGTCGGTGTTTGTCTGAGGGGGATGAATGAGTTGTTTTCTGAGCTTCGTAATGTTTTGGATGGATCTGTTAGTCTTGGAGATGAGTTGGTAATTAAGATTGTGGATTATGGTGTTGAAATTAGTGAGGTGAGTCACTTCCTTCAGCTGATGCTCATGGTTGTATTTACTAACTTGTTTAATGTTGACAGGACTCTAAGTCTTCATATGAATTTTCGCTCCAGCATATCCTCGATCTTCATGTCCGACTCAGTCTCCAGGACAACGTTGAAAATCCAGAAGCGCTTCGTTTGGTTTTGTTTTCGCGTCCTAGCGTGTCTAGCCGTATCAATATGTTGCTAAGCTCTGCAAACGAAGGCCTTGGTTACAACAAGGCAATCGAGTATGCAAGACGCAAATCGGGAGACAGCGACGCGAACTCCGAGCAGAGATTCGTTGAGACAAGCGAAGGTGGAGATCTTCAAGAAGCTGAAGTCGAAGATTATAATAATAATGATGACTCACCTGCGGCGTTTGCCCATGATACCGATAAGCCCGCTGAAGTAGAATCTAACCTAACAGAAAATCAAGGCAGTATTTCAGAACAGAAAGAGGAATTTGAAGAAGAGGATGATGACGACGACGGCGATGGCGATGACGACGACGATGATTTCGATCTTGAATATGGAAACGATGATATTGCTAACGGTGGTGTGGAGGGTGAGAACGAAGGTGGTGCCAATCTGAAGGACGGAGCCCCTAATTCCCCCTCTCCCACCACAGCTGTATCTAAAGATTCACCTACTTCTATTAACGAATCGCCTAATCATGGCTCGGAAACTCCGAGAGCCCAAGAAAACACAGTACTCGAACTCGAGACCGTCTCCAATAGTGCTTCACCGAGGGATACTCAAACTCCTGATGAGGTTGAGGAGAGTGTTTCCACAGTTCAGGGTGATGAGGCTCACTCTACCGAGGAAGAGGAAGAGGAATTAATCGAGTATGAGGATTATGAGACATTCGGAGAGTCTGAATCCCATCACAGCCCGCACACTGTTAATTCGGAATCTGCGGAGCAAAATCTGGGCGACAACGGACCATCACCTTACGAAGATCCGGAGCAGCAACAAGACGCGGCTAGGCCTTCTGATACCCCTGGTAAGCTCTTCCTTTCCGTTTTCTTATTTTTATGTAAATACTAACGTGGGCAACAGAAAACTATGAACAGCAATCTACCGCTAATTTTATCGACCCAAGTGAAAATGCTGTTGATGGCGATCACAACGAAAGCCATAGCCCTAGTGACGGCGATGTGAACGTAAATAATGAGCCATCATCAATTCCCGTCTTCGGGGGCGATGGTGAAGGCGAAGGTGATTATATTGGAGAGCAGCAAGAGGAGTATGGTGCTTATGAGTACGAGGGTCGGCAAGGTTTCGAAGCCGGACAAGATGGAGTCCGGGATTACCTTCCAGTTGGCGAGCAGTATAACATTCAAGACCCTTCGGGAGATAGCCATGAGTCCAGCATGCAGAGGTATAGCCGCCCAGAACAAAGTGACCAACTAGCCGATGATGAGCAAAACCAGTACCTTGGTGAGACCGCCGAATATGAGGATGGTTACGAACATTACAATGCCGAGTACGACGGTGCCGTTGATGGACAAGAGGCTTTGCCTGGTGAGACAGAGTACGATGTTGGCTACCAAATCTATGACCTCAATCAGGCCCATCTCGGGACCGACTATGATGATGACGCAGCCACTGGTGATGCGAATGAAACTGGACTGGCAACAAACGCTGAAAATGACGAGGCCGTCGGTAGTCTACATCCACCAGAACTCGCTCCTGAAGTGGAGTCCTTACTTGGTTACGACAGTGATGATGAAGCAGAGCACAACACACTTTCGGAGGCAAAACAAAGCACCGAACAGAAGAGGATGTACGGCGAGTTAGAGCAAGACGAAGATGATGACGAGATCTTAGGTTGGTCAAAATTCTCTAACCCCTCCACGACAAGTTCTCCGTCCTCTGACAGAACCTCCTCGCGACCAGCAAAACGTCAACGTTCAGATTAAGGTCTAAGTCGTCCTTTGCAGTCTTTGCATTCTACCAACGCAAGGACCTCCTTTTTTTTTTGTTCTCTCGTTTTGCATTCTGAAACTGCTACCTCGACTTCCCTAGCGGTTTCTTTTATCGATAAAAGCGGTTCGCAGGTGTTTGGGTATCTTTCTGTTCGGCGTTGTTGTTTTTTTTCCTTTCATGGGTTCTCTTTCACTTTCTGCGACATCCCGATGTGTTTCTGGGGATATCTTTGAGGTGCTGCATTTCGTTTCATAAGGTACTGTTGTTCATGCATCAGACCTGAGGGGCTTAAGACGCCTTTACTGTAAGGTTTCGTTGTGTTCTGGGAAGACTTCTCCACCGCGGCTATTGACTAGCATCGATGCTGGATGGGCGTCTATGGTAAAGTTAAATTGGGAGCTTCATGGCAGCAACTAAATGGATTCAGGAGGATCCTGTTTGAGTTTAGCCTCAAAATATCGAGTAAGTCTAGGATAAGTCACTTATCAACCCCTCCCTTCTCCTCTCTTTCCGTTCCTTCTATCCTCGCTGTTGTTGTCTTCGCGTGTGGAATTTCCACCCAAGTCTATCTACTTATAGATTGACTTCAATGCGCTCTACCCTTCCCACACCAAATTCCATTGTAATACGTACCCTTTATCTTTTTTTCACTTTCCTTGCTATCCTTCCTTCCTTGTTTCTCGTCGGCGAGATGCTTCTTTTTCTACCTTTCACAACAGACATATTAGTAGTAAAGCATGTTAACCTGGGAATCTTTACTACTGTGTGTCCGGCTGGGCGGTGATTGGATTTGTTTTATTTCTACTTCGTACGGCAAAGGTCAACCGAAAATGTAACTACCTATGTTTCCTTTGTGGTTCTTTCACTCTTACAGGTATCTGGTGGGGTTTTTGGAGCATGGGTGGTAGAAAGACTCAAACCGTGGAATTACTAGTTAGATACTCTTATCAAGTCATTCTCCCTGCCTTAGTATACCGTACTACAATTGTGGGTGTAGCCTATGATACCAGACCAGCTGTCATGCCTGGTCACTCGTTCTTTCGAGCAGCCTACCGAGCACGATGTTGAATGAGCAAGAAAAGATGCACTAGGGAGCAGCAAGCTTAGTAAGGGGGTCGCATTAATTGCCACTACTCATCTCCAAGTCGAAGAGCCCCAAAAACGAGACCAAGAAACCAGCAGCCCTAACAACTGATGTGGTGGATGTTTAGACGTATATAAAACATAGGGAAAGACTTTATTTTGGCGAGTGTGATGCCTTATAGTAACTTACTTTGTATGCCGTGCCTGTCGTAACTTATTTCGCCTTCTCCCGGCAAAGAGTGGACACCACTCCCGAATTTAATCTAAAGAGATTTGTTCATTAAAAGTAGAAAAGTACCTTGTCTGATTGGGTTAATCATTGGCAAAAACTAGAAATTTTGAAAGAGCTCGGTTGGTCTAGTGGTATGATTCTCGCTTAGGGTAATATCTTAAGTACGCTTGCGAGAGGTCCCCGGTTCAAACCCGGGATCGAGCCTTTCTTTTTTTTCTTCCTTTTTCTTGAGTCGGGGTTATTTAGTAAAGGTTTATAGCTATCTTGCGTGAAATTTAGTGGGATAACTATCATACTACGCCTTATGCGGCTTTGTGCCTTGGCCCCTTCTGCGACGTGGCCCCTGGGTCTTGGTCATCATAATATTATTATGTTATTGCTATGCTGGTATTGAATATCTTGTGATGGAAAGAACACTTAGCCAGTAGTGAACCCAGCCCTAGGTCCCCGAACACTACTGTGTACTGCAATGGCCCACGCACCAACTCTCACTATATACTTTCCAGTGTAAAATATTTTCCTACTTCGCCCTATCATGCCTAATGCTTTGGTCCAAGCCTCACTCGAAGATCTCGAAAACTGGACACGCAAGTGTATCTATGTATCATATCAGCCTTGAACACCTAACCGATCACTTACCTATCACTCGTGTTGGTGTCCATACCGGTATTGAGTAATTAGTCAGTCATTTACTCTGGTCATTAGAACGGTTAACCAACGCCAGTGAGCACACAACCAATCAAATCTCCGCGAAAAGGCCTAAAGCCGATGATAATTGTCGAATTGAACGGGTGGGATGGGGGGAGCGAGATATACAGGTATGATAGCAGGTCATGTTATCCGGGCCCTCGGGTGGGGGCGGAAGGGTGCGAGGGATCTTCAGGGCTTAAAGTTATCTTCGGTGTGTGTCTGGGAAGGAGTTATCGATTGGAAACTTGTCCGAGGATGTTGTTTGTGGAGAGAGAGGTCGTCGGGAAAGGCACTGAGTGATTGTCGATGATGCATAAACTGGTTCTGTTTTTTTCTTTTTCTTTTCTTTTTATCTTTTTGAGGGGGTGGGGGATGGATGATACCAATACCAATCTTGCCCTGCATGAGGTACAAGTATGGCACAAGATCTAACGTACGGGGGGAGGGGGGGGATTTTTAGGTTTAGGTTTAGGTTTAGGGAAAGTTGTGGGGTTCCTGTATCTCGAGTTGCGGGTACGATATTTGAAACGATTACTCTGCTTCTGTCGTACCTGTGGTGATGATGCATAGGTACAGTACCGGGGTGGGTGTCCCTCCCCGGGTTGGTTACTGTGCTTGTATGGATCCAAGCAAATGATAATCCCCTTGGCGAGCCGCAGCGATAACCATTTAGGTTAGACTACCGGTTAGACTAAATGCGCATTCATCCATCCACCGTTAACGGTAAGTGAATGAAGTTTAGCACAGGCACGATACTAAAACGTTTCTAAAGTTTATAGGTTCTTTCTCCTTGGCTCGCTTTTTGTTAGTTTACGTTGTCGTAATAGTATCATACCAAAAGCCTGTTTGTCGCAGCAGCGATTTAATCGTTCACGAGCATCTCTTTCGCTTTGCCGGAAAGATACCCTATCATGCATACACACCATGCAGATGAAACACTCTCTTTGTTTGATTCACCGATAGTATAATATTATAAACCCCGCTGTAGTCAGTCTGTCAGTCAGTTGCTGATTGATTGACTGATTGATGAACTGGAGACTGGGACAGCATTGTCGGATCGGCTCTTGTTTCTCTGCCCTACCCTACCCTACCCTATCCTATCCTGTCCCGTCCTCCACTCCACTTCCGGTACGATACCGCCTGTCAATTAATTAATTAATCGATCGATGAAGGAGCCCTTTAACGAAAATCTCTCATAGTTTGATGTCGGGGAGGACAGGAGGTCCCGCGTAACATCATGTAGAGCGCGGATCCCCACTCCTGGACCCTTAATGTATGTTACTCTGAACAACAGAGCGAGAGTGGGGTGGGGAAGGGAGAGGAGGAGAAAAGGAGCACGGGGTTTTTTACCATCACAAGGGACGATATAAGTAGTTGAGGAATCTCTTCCTGTTTTCTTTTTCTTTTTCTTTCCTTTCCTTTTCTTTCTGTGTGGTGGTGGTGTGTCTGTGTCCGCTTCCTTTTAACAAGCCTGCAAAGTGCTGATACAATATAATCGAAGTGCAATTATCAGCTGAATATCGTATTTTGGCAGCTTCCCCGAGAATTTCTTCTAATACAATCCACACATTACACAGATACCACCCACGCCACCCCACCACCCCCCTCCTCCTCCATCCTCCTCCTCACTCACTGGCTCGCTCTCCCGGCAGTTTTTGGTGGGTGCCTTCCCCACTTCGGATCTCCAAGCATTCTAGAAATCGAACCCCCAGCAAAACTTTTGAAAAGGAAGTGCAAGCTCTGGGATGAAACACTGCTCCTGATCCGGTCTCATCATCTGAACATCGAGTCCTGTGCCGTTTACCCCCCCCCCCCTCACGGGAACCTCCTCTGCCTCCTCATAGCGACAGGTTATTCTATATAATATCCCCTTCCTTTCGTCCATCCACCCATCTGCCACTTTTGTGCGGGAACTATATATCCTTCCTTACGCTCGGGTTACGGAATAAATAAAAACGAAAATTCTACGAACATTCCTCCTTACTTTCCTCCGCCCGCGGAAGGTTGCAAATACGGTAAACAAATAAAAATCAGTCCTACTTTTTACCCCCCAAAAACCAGCGGGTTTCCCAAACCGAACTAAATGCCGCATCCCCGCACAACATACCACACCCGCCAACCACTAGACCAAAACCAAACCCACCACCATCACAAGATAACCAGCCCGTCGCCACTCCACCGTGCTTCCAGGTCCTTAGAATCATGGCTCCTCTCGGACCTCGGCCGTCTCAGTATGACTTCCACCACCACCACCGCCCCGAACCTTACCAACCCCACCACCAAGCCGCCGCCGCCCAACGAGGAGACAAGAAGGTCAAAAAGCCCGCGGAGGATCTGCTATACCCATACCCACTACACTTGTTCCTCGTCTTTGTGCGAACATTCGTGCTCGTCGTCTTTGGCTTCCGAATCCTCCTTCCCGCCGTCGCGGGGGCGGACGCCGTCTACTTCTAGCGGTAGCAGTGGTAACAGTAGCAGCAGCAGTGCCGGAGGTGATGTGGAGGGTAGAGATGAATTACCGACCTATAGCTCCGCCGTGGAATCACGAAGACGGGAGAATGAGGCGTTGAAACCGTTTGCGTATGAGCGGCGGGGAGTTGTGCAGGTGCTTAGGGAGGTTGAGAGCGAGAGTGGGAGCGATGATGGGCTGCAGGGGGAGAGGGAGAGGGAGAAGGAGAGGGACAGGGGAGGGAGGAGGAGGTTTTGGAGGTAATGTTCTTTTTGAGGGGTTTCTTTTCTTTTTCTTGCCATCTATCTATTATTGTTTGTTTAGTTTTTAGTTTTTAGTTCCTTTTTTTTTTTCCCCTCTCTTCTATCTATCTCGTTTTTGACCTACTTGCTTGCTTGCTTGTTTATTCGTTTATGAGTTGGTCGGCCAAACTATCTTATTTCCTTTTCCTTTTCCTTGGGTTTGTATTTGGGCAATTGGAGTTTACGGTATGTGTACCATACATACATTAACGGTATCGGTGTCGGCGTCGGTGGCTATTCCTTTTTCTCTCTTTCCTTCCTTCCTTCCTTCCTTGATCTATTTCCTCGGGCGTTGGGGAGTCTCGTCTAGACTTAGACTTAGAACCTTAGACTTAGACTTGGGGCTAGATCTAGATGTTCGAGTGAGTTTACATGATTACACGGCGTTTTGGAACAAATTTTGGTTTGGATACCTGTATTGCGCATGGATGGGGTAAATTAGTGTTTAAACTTTTAGATTTCTCTCTCACGTTTAGGGATATTGAGTAAGTGTGAGTGTGGAAGCAGGATCAATCGATGAATAAATAAATAAATAAATATCACCAACCAAGCCAACCAAGAAAAAGGGGAAATTCACTTTTCCCCGTGTAATAGTGACGTACAGTACAGTACAGTAAAAGCGAGCATAAATGAGTAGACCACAAGCAGAAAGCGAAAGGGGTAGGTAGGTAAGTGAGCAAGTAAAGAATATCAGGCATGTTAAAAAATAAAAATAAAAGGGAAAGAAAAAGGGAAAAATCGCGCGAAATGATAGTATTGTAAATGGCGCGAGTTAGAATACATGACTTTGGGGAGTAAAGTAAGTTGGTTGGTTGATTTCTTTATAAAAAAAAACCCCCCCCTCCGAAAGATAGACCAGATAGTTTGTCTCGTTTATCAATTAATCAATACCGATACGCTACCGGCCCAGGCATCTGCGGCACCATAATCTAGTTAGCACTAGCCCTTCCCCCCCGTTTTTTTTCTTTTCAGAAAAAAAGAAAACAAGACAAAAAGAAAAACATGAGACGAGATATATCATGGTAAAACACAATACATACCGTGGGGCTAACCGGACTATCCGGTACCCTCTCCCTCTCCCTCTCCCTCTGCGCATCCCTATGCACACCCACCTCCATACCGGCACCCTTTGGCGGCGTAACCGGCCCATCGCCTCCACTCCCTACCACACTCGTATCCTCCCCCGCAACGTCGGCAATCCTAGCTCCCTCCACAGTCTTGTGCACCTCCTGCTTCTCTAGCGCCTCCTTGACAGCAAGGGCATGCTTGCTAACAGCCATGGTCAGAAGATCATTTGTCATGATCAACGTTGTCAGCGTGTCCTCGTCCATTCCACTATCACCGCCGCTTCCGCCGCCATCACCACTTCCAGTGGCGGCGGATATGTATCCCTGAATGGAGCGCGAGGCAACCTTGCAGCGGTCAGCGAACTCGCGGATGAGTTCACTTTGCGGTATTTCCGGGTGCGGGGTGGATTGCAGCACTTGTTCGAGGAGTTTGGCGGAGGTTTGGGCTTCAGCGATGCGTGCTGCTAGTTCTTCCATGTTTGGGAGGTGCGATTGCTGAGTTTGGTAGTGGTGCGGTTGGTATTGACCGTTGGTGTTGGAACCACTACTAAAGACCCCGCCGCCACCGCCGTTGGAGGCGGGGGCAGATTTGGACAATTTTGTCATACTCTTCCTCTCCTTCACCCATACCTCTACTAGCCCCTTCAACCCCTCCACCTCCACCCCCCCTCCACCCCCTCCCCCACCCTCACCTTC